TTTTTTTTTTTTTTTTTTTTTTTTTTTTTTTTTTTGCTAGGTCGGACAACCCCTGTCCGATTCGACGTCCGACCAGACGTCCGATCGGACATCCCGGACGGTCAGGGGGGTCCCGGACGTCCGGTAAAACAACCTAGGTCTATGCATATATATGTGTATCAATACCTATGCATGTATGTACCCAATTGCCTAAGTATAGACTCATACATGTATGGATACATATATACATACATATATATATATATATATATATATATATATATATATAGATATGTGCGTATGCATACATACATGGATGTGAAGGGCATAGTGGGAATATACGTGTGAATATACACGCAGGTATATATATATATATATATATATATATGTGAGGCATATATATATATATATATATTTGTATATATATATATTTGTATATGTATATATGTGCGTGTATGTAAGTACCAGATAAAGGGAGCATTGTCAAACTTATATTTAATGGGAAGTGTTGCCTTGATGGTGATCTGATATTTGTACCTGTCGTTTGCCCCTTCTCTGTATGCAGGCATGAGCCTTTGGGGAGAAGAGGCCACCGCACAGAGAGGAGGGAGGGCAGGACCCTTTGGACCTACCTTGAGGAAGGGCGGGCAGAGGAGGGATCAGAAAATCTCAAGGAGCCTGGAGGAGTTGCCCATTTATAGGGCAGGGGACAACTTGCGAGTATTCTTATGAGACCTTGAGGAGTATGCGTTCATGAGAGAGTGGGGTGACGAGGAGAAACTCGCAAGGGTGACTGGAGCCGGAATGCACAAGAAGAAGATTGAAGGAGTGGCGGCTGGATGCGCGAGGTGGAAGGCATGCAAGGTGAGATTGTAGAAGGATATGGGGGTCTTCCCAAGGGACGAAGTTGAGGATGACTTGAGATTTGATGGGACAAATCTGGAGGATTTTATCGACAGTTTACAGCTGGCCGCTGAGATAGGCGAATGGAGTGAGGAAGAGAATAAGAAACAGTTGATCGCGAGAACAGAGAAGGATGAGAAGGAGGAAATAAAGGGGATCGTGGAAGGGAGTCGAATTTTGGAGAGAATAACCGCGGAAATGGGGATAGCATACACCCAGGCGAGACAAGATCAGTCGAGGAAGGAAAGGTTGCAGGAAAAGGGGTTGTGGATTAGAAAAGAGATGGATGAGCCGCAGGGAAAGGAGACAAAGGTTGAAGAAGAAGATGATGTGCCTTTGAAAAGATTGAGGAACAAGGCAAGGACTGTCCCCGTGAGCAACAGCAGAGGGTCTGACCAGGCAGAGGAAGATAAACAGAAAGAGGTGGAGGTAGCAGAAAGGAGGAGGAGAAGCCTGGGGGCAAGTGTGGCACAAAGGGAAAGAAAGGTTGAAGAGAAGAGATCAGTTGAGGTTGCAAAGAAAGGGGCACATGAAAGAAGGAGTGAGAAGGGAGGAGGAGCAAAGGAGACAGGAGAAGGAAAGAAGCTCCAGGAAGGAGACAGGGCTCCAAGGGTTGTAAGAACGAAGGAAAAAAGGACGATTGGAAAAGGAAGGGAAAAGGAAAGAGGAGAAGGTGAGGAAGAAGTAAGGCTAAAGGGAAGCAAGGGAGTAGAAGTTGAAACAGGAAAGAGGAGAGTGGAGTGTGGAGAGCCATCCCAGTTGAGAGAGGAGGTGGAGGAAGGGCAGGTAAGTAAAGAAGAAAAGGCTCAAAAGAAAAGGAAGAGGAAAGAGTGGAGGAACTATATGATCAGGATGCTGCAGGATAACGACCTGCCTGTGAACTCCACGTGGGATGTCAGATTTGAGAGGATGCTCCTCTCAAAGCTGGTGGTGAGTTGAAAGCACTCAGATAACTTACAGAAGAGGATGGGGCTGCATGAGATATTGGATGGAAAGTGCACCAGGCTCTTCGAAGATTATGCTGAGATTGCCAGGAAGATGGGAAAGATGGAAGGAGAAGATGGAGTGAAGGAGGTTGGGGAAGACCTTGACACAGTAGGGAAAGGACTGCAGGCAGAGCTCAAGGGCAGCACCGAACTCTTCACTCAAGGGTTTTTGAACTACATCCCAAGGCTCCTGAAAGAAATGAGCACGCTAAGGAAGAAGGAAGAATAGAGGGTTGCCCAGGTGACGAAGTTGATAGGAGATGTGGAAGGGATGAAGAAGGAAGTGGAGGAGTTGAAGAAGGGAAAGGATGAGTTGCAGAAACAAGTGAGCACTTTGAGGGTTTACTTGACTATGAAAGACAAAGAATTGGAGGATGAAGCAGCTGCAAGAGGAAGGGTGGAGAAAAAGGTGGAAGGTCTGGTCAGCGTGCAAGGGCAGGACCTGGATACTGAGATCTCAGAGAGAAAGAAGTTGGGACAGGATTGGGAGAAAAGGTGGGGTGAAATACTGAAAGGAATGGAAGAACTCAAATTGAGCCATCAGGGGAAAGAAAGGGAAACCACAAAGATGGTGGAAAGAAAAGAGGGTGAAGAAAAGGGGCACAGACTGAGGAGAGAAAAGAGAAGTCTTCTGCACCAGAAATGGAGATAAGTGAGAGTGTGGTCATGCCTCTGCCAAGACAGGGCAAGAGGCAAAGGGTATCTAAATTGGGTTCATCAAAAGGAGTTGAGGATCGGGCTGAGACTTCAACCCAACCAGACATAAAGAAGATCAGGCCTAGTATGGTTGGAAAGGGGTGCTTCTTCTGCACTAAGGAAGGACATCTCAGGGATGATTGTTTCATTCTGTCTGTGTATATTAAGGAGGGAAAAGCCAAATATGATAATCAGAAGAGGTTGGTGGCCTGCATGGGGCAGATAATTCCCAGGATACCTGAGGGAGGCAAGGTAGCACTCCACATGATACTGGGACTACCGATTGATTTCTAGATAGGAATAGGTAGATGTTTCTGAGTAAATCCGTAACTTGTATTGGCATGTGAACAGTTATGAGTGGGAAAAAATGTAATTTACAGCATGTTGTATGTGTTTTTTTCTTCAGTCAGGTAGGGGAAAGGTGTGAGACATGTTATGTTTCTTTCTTCAGTCAGATAAGGAGACTTAGCATAGAGAGTAGTATATGAAAAGACAGTGAGGTATTTGAGGATTAGTAGAGGAGAGTTGCAATTTAACTCTGTAACATATTTTGTATTTATATATATCTTTCAGGGGATGAGTTGATGGACACGACGGACTTGTCACATTGTGTGTGAACCTTTGTCGTTGGTTTAAGTCTCTTTGTGACCTAATATCTCCCTTCGTCTATCACATCTAGACTCTGTTGAGATCTAAAGAAGGTGATAGAGAAACGGGCCGATCAGTATTTCATGTGAAAGTTTGTTAAATGTTTGTGGAACCGCAAAGACGGGATTGTTTGTACATCTCATATTTGAAAAACCATGCTACGACATGGATAAACTCCTTTGAGTCCTATCAATTCCTTTGCAAAATACTTTTGCAATCATTATGAAAGTGATGTTTTTCTTCTTGGATTCGGACAAGCAAAGAGCCAACAAATATTTATTTTAAAAATAATGATTTTTTATAATACAAAATGACCCCGAGGTGCGTGTCTCACCGAGCTATGATCAAAGACTTGGAGGGCGCAACCCTGAGTGGCAGCCTGACTCTTTGCTTCTTTATTTGGTTTATTTATTGGAAAATCTCATTTATTTGGTATATGTAAACAAGTGGACCCCGCCACAGCTACGCCGTGGCACACAGCAACACTTGCTGATGTCGTCTCATTTTTCTTTCATGTCTCTCTCTCTCTCTCTCTCTCTCTCTCTCTCTCTCTCTCTCTCTCTCTCTCTCTCTCTTTGTTTCTTCCCATGTTGTGCTTGGCGGGCATCGGTGCTTGTCATCTTCTCTCTCTCTCTCTCT